CATGAATAGTACTTTTGAGAAAACAAGAGAGAAGATGAATGGTAATCTTGACGATGAAATTTATGAATACAATGAACCTATGGAATTATTTGTTTGCAAAATATGGAAGTGATCAACTAAGTAATCACCCGAATTGTATATTTTGCTAGTGTTGATTATGGAAGACGATGAATAGTAACTTTGTGGCAATGGACAATTGATGATGTAGTATCATTAATGAATCTGAATGGGTATTAAAACATAAGAATGAAGTTGAATGGTCTATCATGTAAAATTATTTGGTGATTTGAGTTGTTGGAGGCTTGTAGCCAACTTGTGAGCCATATGTGGATGTTGATCAATATCTTAGGTCATATTCTGATGTAATTAGGATATCTAATTGTAGATATCGACTTGTTGGTGATGTTGAGCATTTTAATCAACATTAGAATGATGGAGGAGGATTGAAAACTTGTGAATGTTAATAAAGCAAAAGCGAGGTAAGTTGATTAAAACTTACTCTTATTGAGGGACTTTCTCTAAAAGCATATTTCGAGTTAATACTTAAGTTGTTTGCAAATGTGTTTTTGTACTTGTGGGGACAAACAAGTACGGATGTCTCCATGTACTAGAATATTATGTTGCATATGTAGTGTCATGCCGTTTTATAAAATTTTATTTTAAATCTTGTTGGCAAAGTGACACTCAAGGTAAATGTTATAAGTTTTTATCAAAACTTACGTATTGACAAGAGTATACATATTTGAGTGCTAAAGATAAGTTTTCATGGAAAGTATTTCTTTTGGAAATTGACGACCAGAATAGCACTTGTGGTATCTTTTAAAGATTAATGTTAAATTACTAAAGGCTTTAGCATATAAAAGGTTATTTATTTAAATTTTGTTCAAAAGATTTAGATTTTCTATAAATGCTATGATTTGATAAAAATAGATCATTTGAGGCTACTATACTATGAAGCTATTTTGAAGTATCAAATGTTTTGGGAGTTACTTGTGTCCACTGAGATTGACTTCGGATATATCGTGTTCGTTGTCATGAAACTACACGTGCCGGTGTAGGCTTAGATGGCCACTTTGTGGTATACACTACAGCAGAGGGCTCTCCCTCGAGAGAGTACTATTTTGTGCTATTATTAGCATGGCTGAGTCGATTCGTACGACACTACGATGAGACGACCTGAGCAAGTAGGGTATATGATCCTTGCCGCTAGGTACATAACCTAGTTGACCTTCTTGTGTCGGTGATGGTATAGTACTCCCAGCGAAAGGTAAGGATGATTTTCTTATGTTAGGCCTAAGAAGCTGAAAGTGATTTCGATGACTTAAAGCAAATGGAATGATTTTGTACGATTTTATCCAAAATCTTGGATTGATGTAAATGTTTTAAAAGTTTATATTGTGCATTATATTTCACTTGGTTGTTATTTAAAATAACAAGGGTCATGAATTGATAAAATTTCTTATTGTTTTATATCAAATATTGGTGCATTATTTTTATAAAGTTTGTCCCAAGAACTTGAGTTAGAGAGAGTCTATGATACTTATTGAGTACCGATGTGGTGTACTCAGCCCTTAGGGCCCTGCTTACTTTACATATTTCAGGATGATGTATGATATGTGGCATGTGGTCATGCCAGGATGACTCTCTTTCCGAGATATTATGAAGTACCAATTTTATTTTGTGGTAGCTATCATGTTCTTCCTTATTTTATTTTGTTGGAACTACTCCAACCGTTGGTTCTAATCTTTGGTATATAGGCTCCATAGATAGTTGTGAAAGGTTGTAGTAACGGGGTTGTAAATGACATACATAAAAGTATATTTATTTTATTTAGTATCATTGTTATTATCATGAAATACTTCATGTGTGATTTTGAATTGGAAAATATTTTATCATTTAACTTGAAAATGTATATGATTTTCAAGTAGCTTCCGCAGTTAAATTGGTTTTCATGCAAAAGATTTGGGTGCATCACATGGTTTGGTTCGCTCGGATCGGGTAGTGTGTCGGGTGTCGGTCACGTAATTTTTGGGTCGTGACAGTTTACTTATGTTGAGTACTTGCATTGTATTCTTCTCGAGTGAGTCTAGTGAATGTGTTTTAGGTAATTGAATTGTAATCAAGTGTCATAAACAATCAGTGACTTGGAGTGAGTATTTTACTTTACAAGTTAGAGTAACTTGTGAATCAAATAGGAGTAGTAGGAGTACTGGAGAGTATTTAATTACAGTCCTGTAATTGATACAATTTTGGCTCAGTGTTTTAATAGAGTTGGAGTTAAAAATCTTACGTGGTAGGTCGTGATTTTTGCACCTTTTGAGTCGGGTGATTTTCCACGTAAAAATCGTTATGTTTATTTTATTGCTTGTTTACTTTACGATTAAGGAACATGATAAAAAATCAATTTTTTTAGTAATTCATGCGGGCTCAAAGTAACAATATCCATGTGGCTTCGCTACTGATAGTCAACATAACTTCAAAGGGAATTCTTGACTTTTCTACTCAAGTGGTACATATTTATATCTTGAAGTCTTCATCTTTGAACAAGTCAATCAGAAATTCGTACTAAAGAATGACTATTCTTTATAGAGCAAATTTGACAATATAAATTCAGTATGCAACTTGAGATCAAAATCCTATTTTCTTAATTTTTTCTTGGCCAGCCAGCAAGTTCAAAAATCAACAAGAAAATGGATTTAAGTTTTACACGCTTTTAATTAGTACGCCAATCAATCTTTCGATTAGTTCCAATTCCAAATTAGTTTGGATCAACGATACGAGTGCTCTATACACTACACATTATTCGGGCTACAAGTTGTACATACTTGTAGTTATTTAAGAAATTACATTACAATATTAATGTACCATAATATGTTGTACTAATAGATCGCAAATGTTCGTTAAACATTATCTTTAATTTTTTCTTCTTTTTTTCTTTTTCTTTTTTAATAACTTTTTTCTCTAACTGTAGCTCATGTGAAAGGAATATAGGTTAGAGAAGCTATAAAGGCTAGGTTGGGGATTAACAAGTAGTACTACTACCATTATAACCAAGTTAGAAAATTGAAAGCAAATAATAATGATTGTAATTAATGCATTCCAACAACTTTCGTGTCTTACGGATAAACCATGTGAGATTGAGTAATTGAGATTGATATTATTCCACCAAGTTGCTTCATAACTCTTCAACAAACTTTTACTCCTACTTACTAAATTCAAACAACCAATAAATGAATGGAGGCGAGACATTTAATGCACTAATTTCCCTCCTGAGCTATATGAGTGTGACATTAGAGAAAAAGTAAACACGGGAAAAGGACTAAATAGTCGACCACTAGGAAATGATAATCCGATAAAAATTATTAGAGCATGATATAATCATTAAATTCTTAGTATAAAACTTGTAATGCGTATTTGATTCTTGTGATAATACTATTGTTATTTTCTACGTGTTGCTCACATTCTAAAGTAACATCCAGTTGATGAACTGGACCCATATAATTCAATGAGCCGTCCGTATGTATTAATATCACACAAATCGTGAGTTTTACCTTATTTTGACTTTTGGTTTTATTACTATTTTCTTTTCCTTACTAACTTTACCATCCAATTGTAGTCATCAATGTATTTACGTAATTCTTATCGTTCTCTCTTCCGCATTCAACTTTTCTTTTTATTTTGTTGGATATGAATTGTAATTTAGTGACTATAATTCAATCTGTAAGGTTCCAAATAATAGCTTCTCTTAACGTACTATTCAAAGAAGATTCCCACTCAAAAAAAATATCAACAACAACATACTCAATGTGATCTTATAAGTGAAGTTTGTGGAGGATGGATGTATGCAGACCTAATCCCTACCTTATGTAAGGTACAAAGGTTATAGAGCCTCGGCTCCAAAAAAATATATTCAAAATAGGTTTGAAAAATACAAGAGCAAAAAAACTAAGATGAAAATACTAAAGGAAAAAAATAATGACAGAATAGTAATGATACAAAAAGCAAAAAAAAAAATACAATTACATAATAAGATAATAATAAAATAACTTTCTATTTACATTATTACGTGATTAATAAGTTGTATCCTAAATTAGCAAAGTAGTTAGGCAGGTGGTTTTATTGCTTGAACAACGATAGCTATCTACTCCTCAATGTCTACATACTTGTCCAGCTGGTTGAGGCTCGGAAAAATAACGCTTTTCTATTTTCGGCTGTGTTTGGTCACGGGATTTGGAAAGATTCAAGTCGGAGCTTTTCAGAATACAAACTGACTAAATATTTGTTGGCAATATATTATTGGTAGTAAGTTAAACTCAAAGTTGATGATATTTAGACTAGAACTATGATATTGAAATAACTAGATTATATATTTTTTTAAAATCATCTAGACTTTTTAGATAAATTTGATTGAAGGAATTATTTCAATGCAAGTTGCGAGTGCCTTAGAAAGGGGAGAAGTAAAGAAGAAAAGAATGTTCAAACTAAAATTGATTATTGTTTGAGGATTGGATTGGACTCAAGCTGCCACGAAATGACGTTCAGGGTTGGCATGCCTCGAATTAGGAAAAATATTAATTACATTAAGAGGGAACGACGAAGGAGATGCTACCGTATTATAGAGTTTGAACCCTCAACCTCACAAAATGTGATTCAATTGATATTTTAATTTGAAATCTCACGTATAAAGAAAAAAAATGAAGGGAAAAAAGTACTATGTATAGTTCAACGGCCTAATATAAGCTAAAAAAGATTTCTCGTAATCCTTATCCTACTATCCGGGCAAAAACTTACCTACCTTTCAACTTGGGCTATAGCCTCCGGGTAAATTTACTACAAAAGTTTTTAAGTTTTGTCATGTTTATCACTTAACCACTTGGAACTCTAACAATGTAAGTGCAATCTGCAGTTTAACAGTGGTTTAATCTTAGGTCGTCCCAATTTCAGATTTGGTTAATTGGAAGATTTTTTTGCTAAAAATAAATACCTTAACAGAATTAATATACTGCTAAAAGAGGGTTACAACTAGAAATATTGACACTAATGAAAGAGTACAAACGACAAAGCATCAAATCCACTGGCCTGGCCAAGACAAAAACACCGGCTGACCAGTTAGGATTAAACCTAAAAGATCGACTCAAAATGGACCCCATTATTACAATAGGATACCCTACTAAATCCAACTAAGGACTAGCCCTGCAATTGCCAAAAACTCCATTGCAGTAGCTGCCCCCTTTCCTAATGCGAACTAAAATACATCATTAACAACTATAAACAAAACAATATTACATAAGACTCTTAGACCTGAACTGAAATGCTTTAGTTATTTTTGTTTTATAAAGAGGCCCAATCAATCTCATGAGATGGATACTTCTGTAACATTAAATTATCCGAACACATGTCCCACGTTGACTCTTCCTCAGTAAACTCCGGAAATGTCAGGTCAGTTACGGGCGATGATCCACCCGACCCGGAACCCGAACCGTCACTCTCGGATCCACCTTCGGCCACCTTGCTCTCTTCTTCCTCCATTTTCACCACCGCCGCCGCTGAAGACCCTTTGGACGTCCTCTTCTTCTTAGAATCAATGCTCTTCCCCTGGGCCAAGCTCTCACAAATCTCCTTTAACTTAGCATCAACAGAGGAATGCAATGGATTGTACTCTCCGAATTCGCCGCCGATAAGGGAGCCGTTGTGGCGGAGATGGGGGAAGTTGAGCCTAGCAAAGTCGCCACGTAGCATATACGCCGCCTTGTCGTAGGCCAACGCAGCTTCTTCAGCAGTGTCAAAGGTGCCAAGCCAAAGCCGGGTTCGGTTCTTGGGCAATCGGATCTCAGCTACCCACTTTCCCCAGTGGCGTTGTCTAACGCCTCTGTAGAGCTTAGTGGGCTTTGGTGGAGAGCCGGATTGCTTCATTTGAACGGGCTTTGGGCCCAACAAGTTCATGGTAGAAGCATGGTGGTGGGACCCATTGTGGAATATCATCTGTTGTTGTTGTTGGGTTTGGAAGTTGATTTGGGCTTGGATTTGTTGGATCTGAGCTGGGGTTAATTGATTCAACCCGATTGAGCCTGGATGCTCCATTCCATAACCCGAAAACCCAGTTGAAATGATTTGGGCTTCGTTCGTTGTGGAAGTGGAACAAGATTCTGGGCCCATAGGTTGAGGTGGTGTTTGGTAAAAAGAAGAAGTGTAAGGATATGAAATGGTAGGAGTAGGAAATGAAGGAAAAGAGTGGAAATCAGAAGAAAGGAAAGGAGAGGAAAAAGTAGAAGAAGGAGAAATAGGAGGGGGGAAATTATTAGAAGGAGAAGAAGAAGCACTTTTCATAAAAGGTTCAAGTGCTTCCATTAGTTCACCACCAGAAGTAATAGGTTCTGATGTTGAGTGAACATCTACAGGTGTACTATTCCAAAAATCCATTGCTGCTGCCATTACCTAAAATACCTGTTCACAAAAAAAGTTAAAAAAAGTAACCTGTTTCTTGTCAAATAAAAGAAAACAGGTGAGTGATTTTGATTACAAATATATAAACAGAAAAATGGATATCAAAGAGGTCTTCAAATAACAACCTCTTTTTTCTCCTGTGATTAAAAGGAAAAAAAATTCAACCTTTGAGGGACAACTAATAAGCCCTCTAAGCTGATTTTGAAAGAAAGAAAAAAAGGTCTGAAACTATACTGAGTTAATTATTACTAGATCTCGATTCTGAAAACACCTGGCTTATAAGAAAATATTTCGTCTAATTAAAAGCTTGCATTTTCTCCATTTCTTTGTTCAAAAAACATCAAAAACACAAACTCAAAAGTCAGAAAACCTTCTTGAAAATACACAGATGGTTTACAGAAAGGGATCAAAGAAGCGGGATGATACAGAAAGGGGGGAGAAAGAAGATGAAAAAACTCTTAGAAAAATCGAATTTTTTAAGAAAATGTTGATTTTTTTTTAAGTGTGTGGTGTGTGCAGGTGTGAGAAAAATATGAATGAGTATATCTCTCTCTCGCCTCACTCTTTTGTTTTGTGGCCTTTATCTTCTCAACTGCCCCTTTTATACTACTTTGGCGCATTGTTTTACCCTTTTAACCCTCCTCGTTAATAGTGTTTTCTCTATTGTAATCACACTTTTCTTATTCTCTAATTTCCACTGTTCTCTATCTAACAAGTCTATCTTTTACGTTACATTTTTCAGAAGCTGGAACCAGTTATTGATTGCCACGTAGCTTTTTCCACCGGCAACTTGCGCGTCCTATCACTCACATCTGTCAGTTACATTCAGCTTCCGCTCTTCTTCAATTTCATTGTGCGTTTGTTGACTGGCAGTGTTCACACCTGAACTTTTTCAATTTTGGTTTCTTTTTTCTTCTTTAGATGATGAAATGGAAAGAAAAGGACTTACAGGAGAATCTATGGCGTGAGTTTGAAAACTCTTTTTTGAGTTTTTAAAATATTGAAAAGCTGAATTTTGAAATCCTCAAATTCATTTTTGTCTTTTTTGCAAAAACCTGTTCCAATAAACACTGTAGTAATAAATATTCGAAAAAATGAGTTTGTAAATTAGACATAAATTTGATTAAAACATAAATAAAAAATTTGAATATGAAATGAAAAATAGCGTTTTGAAAGTCGAAATTTGTTTGGATGTATTTTATTCGAAAAGAAGTTTGAAATTTTATGAGTAGAAAATTTTAAGAACTTGAAAAAGTTAGTCTAAACACCTTTTTGAAATTTAAAAAATTTATTTTCAAAAGCTGGTCACTTTTTTATAACCAAACATATTTCTAATTAAAAAAAAATGAAAAAAAACTTATGGCCAAACAGATAGATCTATCACTAATATTCCATTCGAGTCTCGAACTCTACCTTTTCCATCGTCGTTAACGGGGCGGATGCAGCGTGATATTTACGGGTTCAATTAAACTCATAACTTTTGATGCTGAATAAATATTTATGTGTAAAAGGTCATTAAAATTATAAAAATAATAGACATGAACTAATAACTTTAAAAATATAATGGGTCTAATATTAAAAAATTTATAGTTGAACTCATAGAGTTTAAATCCTGAATCCACCTGATCGTTAATCTATTTTCCTTATGTTTGTTTTATTGTGACGTAGTATATGGTTTATCAAAAAAAAATGACGTAGTATACGATCTTTTACTTCCGCTGTCCTCTTCCTATTAACTTTAGCATAAACTATACTTCGTTATAATAACAACATCAAATGTTCCTATTTAGTGGGTTGTTCTCCTATGATATATATGAAAAATATACACATTACGACATTTTTATTCGTAAATTTATAATTATCACTAGATTTGCTACTATTTTATGTTCCGAGCCCAATTTATGGATTTTGTAATTTATTTATGCAGAAATAGCTTTGTGATAGAGTGGTGCTTATAGCCTGTTTGGCCAAGCTCCAAAGAGCTAAATTTTGGAGCTAAAAGTGTTTTTTTTTTTCCCTTCTTAAAAGCACTTTTTTTTTTTTCCCTTCTTAAAAGCACTTTTTTTTTCTAAGTATATTCATGGGATTTCCCCTTTTTTTCCTGTTTGAAGCAATGATATAACGAAAGGAAAATAAGTTTAACATTATTGGAATATTGCTGAGATTGTGTCAAGTGATTACAATTGGGGGAAAAAAAAATTATAAATGGCTTGATTTACGACAGTTTCAAAAGTAATAGTAGAAATTTAGCTACTTTTTATGTAAAGATAAAATATGAATAAAACCTCCTTAAAAATAAAAAAAAATTCAGCATAATATGCTGGAGTTCGAATTTTTTACATATGAGATTCCAACATAATATGCTAGAATTTCATGTTGGAGTTCCAACATAATATGCTGGAAGTTTATAGGCATGAGCTTCAAAATCCAGCATATTATCATGGAACTTTCCGTTTTTCAGCTAGGGTGTTTTTGTTCAAATTTTTCTTTGCATAAAATAGTGGCTATTTTTTCATGACTTTGCAAACGCTTACTATCTTTTTATTATCAACGTGAAAACCGGCTAGCGCATACTATTTTCAATATTTAATTTAGCCAAGCTAGCCTAAGACAACCTTGTATATTCAAGGAAAATGCGAGTACATTTTGAAAAACACATTTAGACAACAATATAAATGGAGTCGTGGCCTCGAATATATAAGTGAAGATTATTTATTTGGAAAAAGTCAGAACTTCTTAAATTTTATAGACAGATACAATGTTTCGACATGAATGTATGAGACTAAAATAAGCGAAATTCAAATCATTTTGTAATAGTTTAATATTAGAATCATGGGGTAGTCACGTGATAACGTTGTGGGGAGTTGGGTATACAAAAGAAAACCGATAAATCGTATCAAATCGATAATTCGAGTCAAACTGGAAAAAGAAAACCTTATCATAATTGGTTTGGTTTGATTTTAACTAAAAAAAGTCAAACCGAAACCAAATCAACCCGATAGTACATTTATATAATTTTTAAAAATATTTTATACATATAACATTTATTGTAATGTAATTTATAAATATTTCTTAAACTTTTTCACTGTTTTATCTTTTAACGTATTATTTCAAGTTTAGACTTAACATTCTTGAATGATAAATAAATTTTAAAGCCCATAAATATAGTAACTCAAACAAAGTTCAAATCAATACTAATGCTAACAAAAGAAATTCAATTTAATACTAGGAATGATGATAGTGTTGGATAATTATTTTAGTTTTACATTGATTTATAATGAAAATGCATAACTTAGTTTGTCTTTTTCTTTAGTGCTTAGTTATAAAGAAATATTTGGAGCACAAGTTACATATTTTATGCTATGAAGACTTTACCGGAAAAAAATTCGAGAAAATCCGAGATTGAAAAACCCAACTTTGTTGGTTTGGTTTGGTTTATAAATTTAAAAAGTCGACACTATTGGTTTGGTTTGATAATTGAAAAATCTGAACCAACCTGACCTATGTGCACCCAGCGGGGAGTAGTTGAGGGAGTTGGAAAAAATAGAAACTGTCCAACTATAACTTCATATTCATATATGTTCCTATTTTAATTTTTTCTGTCTTTCCTCATCGGCTTTTATTTTTAGCATTGACTTTATTTTTTTAGTGACATGATTAGGGTAGTAAATTATGATATCCTTGACTCACAAAGATTATAAAAGAATTAGCAAAATAAGGTCTAATGGAGGCTCCTAATGAAAGATCAACCGCAAGATGTGATATTTTAATTTAGTGAAATGATTAGAGATAATATTCATAACTACATAAGTGATTTAACAATAATTTTAATGAGTTGGACATTGCTGGAAGTTGTTAATCAATAATTTTCAGTATTGTGGTAATGTGATGAAGACATCACGTCTAGGAATACTCTAGATTAATAATGACATTTCTGCTGCATTTTCCAATTTATGCTTTTATTAATATTTTGCTTATAGGAATTAGGTAAATTGATTGTCATCATTTGTGGTTATCTTAGCTTCGATGGCTGACTATTATTTAAAACAATAAGCTTACTTTGAATCATTTCAATTCATTTTATTCTAGTGATGTAACTGTTTCTTTTATGCTGGTTCGACTTGAGAGAGTTCAACTTTAATATTTCAAATTTTTATCTTATTTTAATATTTTGACTTTTTTGTAGTGAGAAACTTTCTGGCTTACTCAAATTCTAATAGGGAGTCTGAATGTTAAAGCAACGAGTTACGAGTGGACTTATTTACAATTGATGTTTAGGTTCTGCTGCTTTGCGATGTTCAAATTGCAATGTCATTAGAAGCATAAACCCAATCTTCAACATTGTTAACCTTAAAATGGATATGAAAATGCGCAAGCTATTATCACTTTTTTTTTGGTAATTAAGAAATTTTATTTACCAGTAATATTTACATATTGTTATGTTCAAGCCTCTAATCTGAAAAAAGCCCCAGATTCAGCTCTTCAACCAACCTTCCTTATTACTAACTGCTATACTACTATTTAACTATCTAATTGAACAGTAGGATAGTAGTTAAGTTCTATCAATCTTCTCTATAATCTCAGTTTAGAAGCTCCTCGACCATGCATATCTTGTGTTATTAGTCTACTAAGTACTGTTGTTGATCGTTGCTTTGCTTAAAAGATTATGTCATTCCTTTCTTGCTAGATATAGTACAAGCAACGTGCAAGTGTTAGCCTGTATATTTCAGCTTTTGCGCTCCTTCCCTTGTAGTGTCTGTCAGCCCATGCTATCTCATTTGCCCATGGCATCACCTGTCTATGTATCCCTTGCCACTGTAACATTGCTTTTCACACTCGTGATGAATAAGAACAATTAAAGAAGAGATGATCAATGGATTCTTCTTCTGTACTGCAGAGTGAGCAAGTTGTATCTTCCAAATAGTCACATCCCCTCAATCTGTCCTTAGTTAATAGTCGTCTATGAACAGCCAAATATAGTGTGAAAATCCACTTAGGCAACCCAGCATTATTGCACACCAGTTTCCTCCATGACACTTTAGCAAAGTCTCCTCTAAGCTAAATATACATGGCCTTGATGGAGAACTTTTTCATTCCCACTACATCTTCTTCTGTATATCCAGCTTCCTCTTCTTAGCTTTCAGTATCCTTTGCATAATCCAAGAGGCTTGCTTTGGTTCAGCACTCCATAATGAGTTATGCTTCTTGTAGTAAATGTGAATCCATTGCACCCACATCTTGTCCTTTTTCTTGCATAAGTTCCATAGGAGTTTGCAAACAGCTGCCTTATTCCATGTCTCTACATCAAGTAGGTTCAAACCACCAGCTACTTTAGGTTGGCACAGTTTGTCCCAGGCTAGTAGCGCTTTCTATGATATCTCCACCCCTCCAGTCCATAGGAATCTTCGATACACGCTTTCAATAAGTTGGATCAGCTTCTTTGGCAGCAGAAAAAAAAACTGGGACCAGAATACTTGGATAGAAAAGAGTACATTTTTAATGAGTTGTATTCTCCCTGCATCTGATAGGAATCTTGAAGTCCAAGATTGGATTCTCCCTAACATTTTCTCAATGAGATGTTG